AAGTCCACAGTAGTATTGTGATATTCGAGCCGTGAAAGCTAAGTACTAAGGTGCTAGAGCGAGGTAAATTGAAGGTCGACGTATCCGAATGAAATAACGGTAAGTGAGGTAATAGGTTAATTGAATATGTGCTAAGCACAGTAGTAGGTAGACTTAGTTGAATCACTATACAGTGGAACTACGCTGAGTTAAGGTAATAAGGATATTAATAATGACAATGAGCTGACGGTAGGTATATTTGATTATATACATTGAATCACTATAGTGGATTATAGTTATGTCGGTGATATGGAGGCATAATAAGATGAATACAGTTAGTGGGATTTGAATAGTATATTATTATGCGAGTGCCAACGTAGAGGCTTAATAGTATATTTATATAAGTGGAATAGAGTTGAGGAGTTGAAAATAGTATATAGATTCATGAAATGTATCTATTTAGTTGAAGATTTAGTATTGGAGTCATAGTTATGATTGGGTCAATGAAGATACATTAATCTTAAAATTTAGCTGTCAGTGAAGTATACGTGGATATTTTTCAGATAATAAAAAACAATAGTAGAATGGATAATAGAATCTAGTACGTAACTGGGTAATAAAGGCAAAAGATTGAGTAAGTGAATAGGTAAGTCACTGAGTAACAATCAGATAACCTAATAGGTTGGTATTGATGGTAGTTAAAGTGGTAATTAGGGTAATAATAGTGATAGTTAGTAGTAGGTAATACATTAAAATAATTATTATATGTAGGTTGATTATGTTAATATAGGGAGATAAAAAAATGATAGGTAATTAAAGAAATATGATTAATGAGAGATTAGAAAGGTAAATAGTATAGAATTCAGATGAATAATAGTAGGTTGTAGTGGCAGTCAACTTAAGTATAATAAATATGTGATAAGTATAAGTTCCGGGTTATATAAGTTAATAATAAGTGAATTAAGGGTATGTTATATATAAACGCTTGAGGTTATTAGTTAATCTAATTGGAATGACCTTAGTGATAGTGAGATTGATTGTGGTTAGTGATAAGATAGATGATTGTGAATGTGCACTGATTTATATGTGATGGATGTCACTGTGTGGTTTCATACAGTTGCTATACACCTGCATTATCTAATAATATCATCACGCTTGTGGTTATTATATATATAGTTTAAATATTTACAATTAGATCTGTCTATAATAAAGTCACCGAGTCCTCACAGTATTCGGGATAATTTATACCACACACATCAACCAATACTCTAGCTCGATCCAGTATGCTCCTACGCTCGGCTACACCTACGACATCCACCATCCCCGTGCATAGTATATGTGTGCTCCAATCAGTCAATTATATAGTTTGATAGTAGTAGTGGTTAAACTTACCGCCTTAATATAATGTTCGCTAGTAGTAGTAGTTTTAATAGTATATTGATTCCGATAGTGATGTCGCGCTATAGTAGTCAATTAGGTTAATTAATAGTCCGTATACCTGTTAGTTTGCTAGAATGTCTAATATAATAGTGCAAAGTCAGTTGTAGTTATGTTAATTTTCATGTCATATTAATTCAGTTGATTAGTTTATGTTAGTCACGTCCAACCTCTGTACACATCCTTTAATTCCTTTGAGCTGATTAGTAGTCATGTAGTTCAAATCACGTTATATTTATAATTGTGATAGTAGTAATTTGTTTTTCCAGTTATTATTGCTTTATCTACATACGCTGGACTCCCCAGGCTCCAGTATCCGTCCCAGTCATCCCTTCTCTAGTACATTCAAGTGTGTCATAGTAAGTTAGTAGTACCATAGCTGGAAAATAGTTCCGGATAGTAGTAGTAGTAAATTGTTAATACCAACCTACGCCTCGATCTAGATAGTAGTAATAGTAATAATAATAGTGATAGTCCTAACGTCAGCTAGTTATTGTAATCATCACGAATCGATGTAACGTAGTAGTTAAGCATTCAGGAAGTGATAGTAGGTCCTCCCTAGTCGTAGTAGTTAGTAGTAGTCCTAGTTAGTAGTATATAGTAGTTTTCCAGTACTAGTATAGTCGGTGAATATGGTTAATCAGTAGTTAATTCAGTAATAGTCCGCATCCCTCTTAGTTCTCTAATTTTGCTGTCAGTAATAAGCAATGTGGATAGTATGTGCCAGTCCCACTAAGTAATAGTTCGATGAGGTCTAGTAGTAATAGCGTGATACCGTGGATCAGCTAGTTAAGTCTAGTAACTAGTATAGTGGATAGTACGCTAAGCTAGTAGTAGCATAGTAATAGTGAATAGTCAGCTCCCCCTAGTAGTTCAATAGTAATCAGTGATAGTAGTAGTAGTCAATTAGTAATAGTGACAGTAGTCAGTAGTAATAGTTAAAGTGATAAATTAGTGTTGTAGTAGTAATCAGTAAAGTGATTGGGTAGTAATAGTAATAGTTATAGTAGTGTAAGTAACATGATGTATTAAGTAATAGTAATAGTGATAGTAGTAATAGTAATGTGATAAGTAGTAGTAATAAGTAAATATGTAGATTAGTAGTATGTAAAGTAAATAGTGATAGTAGTAAGTATAATAGTAATATGTAAGTAGTAGTGTAATAGTAAAGTGATAGTTACGTAATGAAGTAACAGTGATAAGTAAGTAGTAATGTAGTAGTAACAGTGATGAAGTAGTAGTTAGTAAAGAGTATTAGTGATAAG